TGGTCAGGAACAGCAGGGGCTGAGCTGGACTGGCCCCTTAGGCTGAGCCCAGAGCTCAGCAGGGCTGCCTTGCTGTGTTTTTACAATTCAGCTGATGTTTCCCCCCATCATTCCTGAGGCCGTGGCTGTGGCTGGCTGGGCTCAGAGGGGCAGGGGATCATTGTCACCAGTCCAAGGGACACAGGAGCTCTCACAGTGAGCCAAGCTGAGCCCTGAGCCCTTGGRCTTCACTTCACACTCCATATTTCCACTCACCTGAGAGTTTTGTTGCACTCTGTCTGTAACCACAGCTTATTTCTCAGCTAAACACACTGTAAACTCTTAATCTCTTTCTTCTCTTCCATTTTTTCCTTTCTTCCCTCCCCTTTTCAGTTTTTATTTTTGTTTTTATTTTTCTCTTTAGCTTTCATTCTTTGGTCATAGTCCTTCAGGCCACATGCACAAGGTAAGCCCTGGGTCTGCTCTCTCTCCTTCTCATAAAGCATCAGAGCTGCATCAGAGGATTGAAGGGTCTCTGGGCATTCCAGAGAACCCAGAAATGGGAATATCCAATTCCTTAAAAAAATTGTGAAACATGGGCACCAGCAGGCAAAACTTGTCAAACAGAGTTACCTTCTTTAGAGGGAAGAGCAAGGTAAAATTAAGCAGGCTTAAAAGGTAAAATTAAGGAAAGGACAAGGTAAAATTAAGCAGGGGAACTTTAGCAAGCCAGGGAGAACACCCAGTCTGGGTTATTCCTCTTGAGGTTGCTGCAGTGAATCCTTCCTGGAAGATCATGGGAACCCTCAGCCCCTCTCCCCAGGCAGCCAGGGAGCCTGTCCTGCCAACCAGGGTGTTTGGGGGAACAGGGTTTTTATTGGGGTGCGTTCCTCCAGGCACTGTGCCTTTGGGTACTCCCTGAACCCCCTTTTCCCCTGTAAATAGGGGATACATTGCCCTATTGCTGTGTGTGCTGCCAGAAATGAGCACAGCATGGATGACAGAGGGAAACACCAATGGAATATAGCAAAAGCCTTTGTTATCAAAGAACTTTTGTGAGTTATTTTTGCCCAGGTGGGCTTTTCTCTGATTGCTGTCTTTGTGTCTCGTTTCAGCCTCCCGGGGACGCTGCAGCTGCTCCTGCTGCTCCTCACTTGGGGACAGCGCTGCTTCCCGAGCCTGGCACAGAGAGCATGATGGGCACAGGGACCCTGCCCTGCACACTGACCACATCCGGCACAGAGAGCATGACGGGCACAGGGGCACTGTCCAGCACACTGACCATGCCCTGCACACTGACCATGCCCTGCACACTGACCATGCTGGGCACACTGACCATGCTGGGCACACTGACCATCCCTGGCACACTGACCATGCCCTGCACACTGACCATGCCCCACACACTGACCATGCCCTGCACACTGACCATGCCCCACACACTGACCCTGCCCTGCACACTGACCATCCCTGGCACACTGACCATGCCCATCACACTGACCCTGCCCTGCACACTGACCCTGCCCTGCACACTGACCATCCCTGGCACACTGACCATGCCCATCACACTGACCATGCCCTGCACACTGACCATCCCTGGCACACTGACCATGCCCTGCACACTGACCATCCCTGG